TTCTAGCCCCCCCATATGTGGAAGCCCTGTCCTCTCCAGACCACGCCCATTTTACATAGGCCCCACCCCTCTCGTTATAGACTCCCCCCTTTCCTGCAAGACACGCCCCTTTTTGACAGGCTCCGCCCCTTCCTTTCATACTTCCGCCCCTCTCGATTTGTTCTCTTCCTTAATGGATAATCCCCCACACCCACCCCTCTCCCCCCCACACACGCCTCCCCTAAACTACCCCTCCCTTCCCCCCCAACCTTGATTGTGGAGCATCAGGGGACACCCCCCCGCAGCCTACTTGAGGGTCAGGGGGGCCCCATGGCCTCTCCCCAACAGGCTGTGTATGTGGGAGTGCTTGTGATTGGGGGAGCCCCCAAAAGGAGCTATTCCCCACAGCTGTGTTAATATCGGGGTTCATCCGAGCCTGCACTGTGAACAGAGCCATGCACCCTAAAACCTAAGAGGGACAAAATTGGGGTGGGGCCAGTGGGGGAGGGGGCTGATCGCCCCCCACATGGCCCCTCCAAACCAGTGGGTGTCAGCTCATTCCCGAGGGGGCTGTCCACCCCAATTTTGGGATGGGGGTGTCCCTATTTCCAGCTTCTTCCAATACATTTCCCCCCTCTTCTGAGTGTCTACTCCCAAAATCTGCTTCATGGAGGAGGGCTATGTATGTGGGGTCCCCTAGATAAAACAGGGGTACCCCAAAACTTGTACTCCTGGGGTGTCTAGCTATGGGGTGTCCCTTCAGAAAATGGGGTACTGAGGCACTCATCCAAATGCACCCCAAAATCTGCTCTACTGGGGGAATAAAAAGGGGTGCTCCTTCAGAAAATGGGGTACAGGGGGAATTAAACAGCTATAAGCCAAATCCTGCAAGCCTTGGGGATCAACTACTAATGGGGTCCTCTCTTTTGGGGGGTGCATAAAAATGTCTGAGCACCCCCATTTATCTCCCCAAAATTGGCTGCTATTTTGGGGTGACATTTGGAGGAGTGACTCACGGGTTCTAACTTTTCATGGCCCCCTCAAAGTGTGGCACCCCAAAAACGTATGAGCGGGGGGGGTCCATAGTCCCATTGCATACATGTCCCCTAAATAGGAGTGAGGAGAGTGTTTTTTGGGGGGTCTATGTCTTGTGGGGGACTCAGGCAGATTTTGGGGGGGACACGGTGGGAGGGAATTTTTTTAAAATTATTTTATACAAATCCTTTTTTTTTTTTTTAAAGAGAAAATTATAAACCTTTCCTGGCCTGTACAAAGCCGGGGTTCAGGGGGTTCTCATTTGCCTTTCCACACTCCCTGCCCAGCCCACCGCCAACAACGCCCACAGGTCTCTGACTTTGGGGGTGCAGATGAAGGATCCCCCATCATTTCCCCTCCAGGGGGCATCGGCTCCCCTCCAGCCCCAGTGCAGGGGGCTGGCTGGCTCAGGGGGGGCAGGGAATGGGGCACGGGGCCTGTCCTCTCTAGCGATGGGAAGAGGGGTAGTTTCAAAGGGGGAAGGTGTGGGGTGATATGAGGGAGGAGAGGGCATGTCTGAAAACAGGATGGGGAGATTGGGGGGGTTGCTTTGTGTAGTGCAGCTTTGGGGGCTAGGTTGCATGGAGGGAATGAGGGGCAGGTTACAGATAGAAAAGGGGGGGCTGGGTTGAAGAAGGGGGGCTGGGGGAGCTATGGCTATTGGGGTGTGTGAAAGGGGACCAGCAGCCTTTGGGGGGGGTGACAGTTCTATTACATTTTTGGGGGGCTGGCTCTACCCCAACTCCACCCGTACCCCCCTCCCCGGTTTTGTACCGAGACATGGAAATCAATATTCGCTCTGAGACGCTTATAAATAAACCCAGGCCGCTGCCGATTTTCTAACACGGCCCCGTGTCCAGAGTCTGATTTGGGATGTCTGGGGGGGGGGGGGGATGATTCCTTTGCTCTCTCGGGCTTTGGGGGGCGCTGGGGCCGTGTTTGCGGGCTCTGGCCGCTGCCCCGCAGGCTCCTGGTTCTTTCGCATTGGAAATCGGAGATTCTCCGGCGCCCGATGGCCGGGGCTGGAAGCGACAAGGAGCCAGGGGTGGCTCACGGGGAGGGTTGAGCCCGTCGTCTTCTCTCCGTGTCCCCAGCACCTAGGCCCATCGATGTGCCCCAACCCCATTAGTGGGGCAGCCCCCCGGGGTCCGGCTCTTCCTCCAGGGTCGGCCACACGGCCTCCGAGTGTCGGCTCCTGCCCTCCTGCTCGGCCCCGGCACGTCCGACCGAGCCAGGCATCTGGTGCGAAACGCGGGCACGCCGCCAGGGCTGGCCGGGATGTCCCGGGACCGGCCTGGCAGGGGGGCGACCCCCAGGGGGCCGTGGTCAGGGGGGTGCATGGGCCAGGCAAGGAGCGGGAGGGGCCGAGGGAAGGGAGCTCCGGGCAATGGGGGCGGGGGGGGAGCGGGCCTGGGGGCGG